ACAGCAGATGCTTGGTGAGTAAGGCAGGAAGCCATATCCAAGCTTCACTTGTGAGAGGCTTTATAGCTCTTAGATGTTTCTGACAACAACATACAGAGCCAGAGGCTCCAGGTTTGGCAGTGAGAAGGTTTTACCTGTAGGTCATGAATTTCACCCAGCCTGAGCCATGAAGGACTTGCAATCAAATGTTTCATTTTTTGCTTAGTAGCTAAGAAGTCTGGCAGCACAGGAGGGGCCTGAATACGAGTTTGCACCAACTCCTTGGTATGCGTCAGCAGATTAAGCAGACCAAGTTAAAACGTGACCCTCCTGGAGTTATGCTGCTGAGCCATCCAACCCACGGATGAGAAACAGCAACGTGTAAGTATGAGCACAGATACCTGTCCTCAGAATGAACAGTAGACATCAGCACTGGATTCTCCAGACCATCTGGGAGTGTAATTTAAATACGTGGGAAAGAGGATAAAGTAATTCACCTTATACAGGAGGAGCCTGGCAGAGGCCTGACTCCACCTCTGCCACCTGCTTTGCTTCTTCTTCTTCTCTATAGATGTTGACACAACCACAAAAAAACCCAACAACAAAAACACCAAAAAACAAACACACCAGCAAATACAGGATTGCACATGGGCTTTCCAGCAGCAAGGCTACAGAAGGGAATGTTTGTGGAAGAACAGGAGGTTAATCCACTCCCTCTTCTCCAGCAAAATTTGGCAGATCCTGCAACAGTCTCAAACACATCTCCCTGGCAGCCCTAATCTGCATCAGAAGCACTCCTAACTAAGGAGTGGCAGTGAGTGCTTCCTGTTTAATACCTTCCATTTCCTGGGCCACTGCAATCCCTCCACTCTGCAGCTTCCTTGCTGTAGCTGAACATGTTAACCCTGTGTCTGGTACAGCTTCCACTCTAGCAAGTGTCCTCTCCCCTCCTAGGGAGGATTGTAAGGGGAAACAGAGAAAACTATCCTTTGGCCATCAGAATCTCCAGCTGTCTCCCTTCCCCAGCCTCAGCTCCCCAGCCCCCATGACAGAGGCCTCACCTGCCCCTGGACCACAGCAGTGAACACGGCCCTGAAGTTCTGCATGTCAGCGCTCTGCAGCTCCGCCACGATCCCCGCGTCCAGCAGCACCAAACAGAGCCGCCTGAGGGGCGGCTTCACCTCCACCACCAGTGTATCACACAGGTCCACGATGGCTGTCTGCTCCTTGCAGCTGCTGCTGGCGTGGGCTGTGCCTTGAACCAGGATGTTGCCAGGGTGCAGGTCAGCATGGACAAAGTTGTCAACAAAGACCTAAAGGATGGGCGAGTCTTAGAGCAGCTCGTTCCAACCAAACCTGGCTATGCCAAAACTCCCAAATAGCACAAGTTCATTTCTGGTCTGTTCGCTGTCATTACTAAAGTGCATCACCCCAGGCAGCAACACAGCAAATGGCTTCTGCTGGAGACCTGCTGTGCTGAAATGGCATGGGTGCTACTCCAAGGGAGTCAGCAGAGCTGTATGAAGCAATCCTGTGTGTCCCAGAGGCCAGGTAGAAGAGCCAGGAGTCCCAGCAAAGAACAGTAGTCCTCTTTGGCAATTCATCTTAAACTGGATGCACACTAGTGGGCTTTGGCAAAGAGTAATGCAGTAAGAAGGGGCAATTCAGTATTCAATGGTATGACTTATAGCATTCAATGGTATGATTAAGTTTGCCAAGTCTGGGGCATCAATGCACATTAAAACTGTATTGAAAAGTACAGACAACAAGTTAGGTGAACAGGCAACAAGTGCATGTAGCGCTTCTGACCCTGCTAGCGGTTAGCACCAGGACTAGCAAGAGGGTAAGTACAAGACAATACTTTCCCACTAACCTTCCTGGCCACTGGGCCTGCAGGACTTCCTGCCCCAAGCAGGTTATCTTTGTGTTTAATGGACTTCTACAAATTTTTTCAATTGCCATGTAAGTGATTAGAGCTGTGTGAAAAGAATATATATGTATTTTTTTAGGTGTTGCCTGAAAAAATGACCTGATAATTTTATGTCCTCCTCATTGCTCTGTTTTAAGAAACTATACATAATAGATCCATATTCACTCTCATGTACTCATGACTGCACATATCTCTGTCACAAACCACTAATTTTTCTCCTTTCCAGAGTTAAGAGTCCAAATTATTTCACCCTGGTGGCAGGAAGCAATTCCACACTAGTAATCATCCTGGCTGCCTTCCTCTGCACCTCTTCTAGTTCTGTTACAGCCCTACAAAATGGAGAGTCCTGGACAGTGAGGGTCTAGAGTATTCAAGAAACAGGAATTTGTTTTACTTACAGCAGTGATCCTGTTTCTTTGCTACTCCTAAAATCTGGGATTTTTGCTTCACTCCTAACCATTGAACCCAAGGTTAGCATAAAACCATTTGAATTCCACCACGGCTTTTCTGAGTGTCAGAAGTTATTTCAGAGCCTGTCACTCTACCTGAAGTCAGAACTGCAGGCCTTGTACCACCCTAGCATGATGTTGCAGCAATCAACTGAATTTCACCTGACACTTACTGTCCACACACTCAGTACTGTGTGGTTCTATTGCAACTCTTCCCCACTAGTTCTCATGGCTCCTCAGAAGCCAGCTGTGTCACCCTCAACACTCCTTTCCAGATAATTTGTGATTATTTCAACCACAAAATAACTAGACAGTCAGAAACAGAATCATAAGCTGAATCTGGCCAGGTTTGTTTTCTTTACTCCGTATTTAGTTCTTCCTTAAAAAAAAAAAAAAAAAAGGCAGATTTGGAGGAGAGGTCCATGAACAAAGAAACTAGCTGGTTGTTTTCCCTGTGAGTTGCATCCACAGTCTCTGCAGAGAGCCTATTTGCTAATTACATTGTACTTTATAGCCTTTGGGCAATACGTGAACAGGCATTAAAAGGATGAGTGGGTTTCCTAAGCAATGCCTGGATTAAGTTGTACAGGAGGATCCTACTGTGTGCCAGCAGATTGCCCTTCTGCAGTGAGAGAAGCTCCATCTCAAAGTCTGCAGCAGTGGTGTGCATCTAGCCCAGGCCTTGTTAAGACCTTGTGTTATACTGCATACACAGTGCAGACCCCCCTCTGCCGAACCAGGAGCTGCACAGTGCCCTTGCAGCCCAAGACCTTTGTTACCTCAGGATACCTGGCATCCATGGGCTGGCTCCAAAAGGCACAGCTTTATTTTTGAGTCCATGAGGAGAAGGGTAGAAGATGTGGGAAGCAAACAGGTTCTCTTTAGCCATATTGTCTTATTACCCCAACTGAATAGCTTCTGCAGGAAAACAACCTTCACTTCCAGCATCAGCCAAGTGCCTACCATCTTTAGCAGCATGTCCATGCCCATCTTTGCCAGTCTCTGCCTCAGCTCTGCAGCAATCTCCGCGTGCAGGTAGTGAGAAATAGGCTCGCTCTCCTGAAATAAAGACAGAGCTGGAGTCAAACACACTGTATCCCCACCTCCAACCACACCTTTACCTAGATGTGCAAAGTTGAGGGAAGGTGATAAGAATACTCTAGAAAGGACCTGCTCAGTAGAGGCTGTACCTACTGTGATGAAAAATATGAAAGAAGCAAGGGTTTGCTCTTTGGAAAGAGGGTCTGATACAGCCTGGGGCAGAAATACTCTTGCCAGCATCACATGCACAAAAACTAAGACGGCGCATAACTTTGGTCTGTGGCTCAAACGTCCACAAGGGCAGTGAGGCAAGCGTCAGAAAGTGCCAGATTGCTGAGCTCCTTGCTTTGACCCACCACAGAGGAGAGCTGAAGAGTGGTGTTGGTTTGCAAAGCACGGGCAAGCACATGATGGGTGGACACACTGCTGGTTTGCTTGGTTTCAGGCCAAGTGTTCACTTCCATAAGGAGCTGTCTGCCACCTGTCTTCTGGGATGCACTGTTCACAAACAGAGAGAGTGGAAGAGACACTGAGGAAGGACACCGATCTCTTTAAGCAAGCAAAAGTATCCTTCTGCCTCTGATGGCTCCTTCTCCAAAAATACCTCCTTCGCATATTCTCCTAAGGGCCTTCTCACTGCTACCACCGCTCCCAGGCCCTGCAATTCTTACCTCAAATGTCTCCACTAGAACATCTGCTGTTACCAAAGGCCAAAGGGGAGTTGGGAACTTCACAAAATCCACATTTAGGAAATTTTGTCGGAAGCGCTCCAGGTTTCTGGCTTCATAGCGCAAATCAATCTGAGGGAAGGAAAAGCAGGTTAGAAATTAGATGCAATTAGATCTTACGGATCCTGTATGAGGATATGACTGTACAGTGCAATGCTCAATGACAACAAAACTAGTCTGAAAGCCAGAATAAAAACAAAATAGAGTGGTGCTTCTTACATGCTTATGAACAGACTAGGTAAAGGATGTTCCACAATCCAGTACCTTTGGCGACTCTTCCTACAGGCATGGTGTCTCAAAAACGACCAGGACTGTATTATTTTCAAGGGTAAGACAGATCCTGAACCAAAGCTTACTGTCCAAATAGCAAGGCAGTCAGGTAGGGTAGAAGAGCTGCAGCCCTAGCCTCACTTTACAGACAGGCAGCCCTAGCAGGAAGAAATCTAATGTAACACCTACAAAACACACCACTGTGCAAAGCGCTGGCCCCAGCTCTCCAGTGATCCCAGTGCCTTGATACGAGGGCACCTCTCTTGCCCACGTATGCTGTGCATGGAGGCAGGATAACTTTGCCTCACCTCAATCATGCAGTGATGGGAAATATCCCAGGAATACCTTTTGTTCTCTCAAAGAGAAAGGAAATTACAAGCCTATCAGATGCTTTCCTAATCCTCAGTCTTCAGCGCATCCACCAAAAGCTCTGCCAGAGTGAACAGGTACTAATTACCTCATTTAACATCTTTCAACATGGATTTGCTGTGTAAATTTGTTGCAATGTTAGAAAATAATTAAGGCTTTCAAAAACTTGTAACAGACTTCACACTCTGCAATCTAGACATAAAAATGAAACGAGCAGATAATGGTTAATTTTAATCAAACATAAGCCTAACTATGCCTGTAGTGAAGTATTTGTAAGTTTGGTAGTACAGATGTTTCAGGACTGTGTCTTTAGAAGACATTAGTGCATCAGGACATGTTTTCAGATCTATTTGCAAAGCTTCACTTCATACTATGAGTCTGATGGCAATACAATATGGAATGTATTAAGTTATAGTACAGTAGATTAGTTATGCAAAAACATATATATACACGTGTGTGTGTGTATATATCAGTACTAATAAACATGACCAGTGAATACAGATTGCAAACTCATGTGTAGGATTAAAGAAAAAAAACACGTCTGAGCACTTGTTTGGATGTATTATTCTCCTGAGGAGAGATCTCTAACCAGCGTTCATCTTTCAAAGTGCTGCAAACTACAGCTAGCTAGCTAGCTGGTCAGGCTGTTCACCAGAAAACATACTCAAAGTCTAAAAAATATTTTTTTAATCTAATAAAGATTACAATTTTTTTTTCATTGCTTTTTTTTTTTTTTACTCTGTGGCCATGTAGCCTTCCTATAGTAACATTATATGACAGATAAAGAATGTTACTAAACAAGCAAGCCTTCATCTAACCCTTTAAAAATGATCACTATGAACAGAGTTAGAGCCACCCAATAGCAAGACAAAGAGCAGTTGTATTTCAGTAGGTGGGACCGTGGCACAACATGTACCTGCTGAATCATAAGCTTCTCAAACTCCTCCACGATCTCTGTCAAACTGAGCCACTTGAATCCAGGGAGAAGTCCAATGATGTGACTACCCATCTTCATGAGAAACAGATCCATCTGGACTTGGTTGACTAGCCCAGGGTGCAGGACCTGCACAAGAATGAATGGTGGCAAGATCAGCTCCCCAAAGTCTGTAAAAAGGATGGTCCATTTCAATCAGCTGAAGCGATGCTTTCCAGACAGACAAAACCCAGCCCATACAACTAGGCACTAGTCCTCCGAAGAAGTTATATTTTGCCATGGATTAAGCTGTGAAGAAATACATTTTCATCTTAAAATAGAATACATTGTGCTGAAGCCTATAACCTCACCCAATGCCATTTCTCATGGCTTTTGCACTCCTGCCCTCTCCATGCCATGCATTACTAACTAGTACTTGGAACAGCTCAAATGTAAGATGTCTTTAAACTTTGCTGGAAAGAACTTATCTGTTTATTCACATGAGGAGAGAAGAGATTTAATTTTCTAGAAGGTGACATGAAGATTAATAGTAATTATTTTACTATAAACTGGGCCCTTGCAGCAGGCATTTCTAGTATCCACATGCCATGTCAAAGGTGCCTCAGGCAGTTTGGGTACTTGAGCTCTCTGGGTTGGGGCCACCACAAGTCTGGATCGTGGCTGGCTGGAACCAAAGCACTGAGAAAAGGCACAGAGGGAGAAGAGCATCATTTCCCTCTCTCTGCCTGGCCCTAGCCAACTGCTCCTCTCCATGGGAATTCAAATCTGATCCTCCTCGTCCAGCACACTCCATTTTGACACATCTACTGGCCATGTGTATGACTTACTTTAATGGCTACAGGTGTGAGATGTTTGGCTGATGAAGGATTTGCACTCCGGACTGGTTTAGCCACCTGCTCCGTAACAGAGGCACCACTCACAGGGCTTCCCCGGGGGCAACCTGCTGCGCTCAGCTCTTCCCGGCTCCTCTTGTCCCACAGCTTCTCGCTCTTCCGCCTCCTCAGCCACCCGAGGAGGCCGCTAAAGCCTGAGACCTCCCACGCTTCAAAAGCCGAGCGTAACCCCGAGCAGGGCGCTACCTCGGCGGCCCGGGAGCCCGGGGCAGCGGGGAGCTCAGCGTAGGCTTTATACACCTGCGCGACGCAGCCCGAGCCCACCGGCTCCCGGCTTTGGAACGTGAGGATGCCCGTCCAGTCCGTGCCGAAGGCTTTCCTCAGGAGCTCGTCCGTGTGGCTCCAGGGGTGCGGGCTCACCTCGACGTGCAGCTTGGAAAACTCGTCGCAGAAGGCCTCGGAGAAGAGGTCTCTCCGGGTGCTGGCCCACTGGCCCAGCTTGACGCAGGTGGGGCCCGCAGCCTCGGCCGCCC